CGACATTCCTGTGTGCAGCTGTGGAGTGAAATAAGTATTTTTATCCACATGTCATGAGATATTTATTAATGGTGCGGTGCCTTGGTAGTCGTCAAGAGTGGTCGTCACACAACGCGTAATAAAATGTTTTGGCAAGACTCTATGGACAGGTAAGAAAGAAATGCGAAGTCTCTACGACGCAATTTTTAAAAGAATTATGGATTGTCAGGGGGGTTTTGCAAAGGAAAGCGTTTAGGGTTGGCTTCAAATATGACCTATTTATTCCTTTTTATGACCCACGTATGAACTGCTAAGTGGCGAGAAACGGGTACGCGGCTCAAATGGAGAGTGTGGCGGGAGCTGAAAGAGTTATTCTATGAAATTGTCCGCAGCCACCAACAGTAGCCATCCGGGTGACGAAAATATCTCCGAATGTAGAATTTAATTGAGGCTCAATAATTACCTCAAATATATCAAAAGATAAATTAATTTCATTGCGATGTTCCTGGACCCAGTTTACTAGATATTTAGTCTCTGTAATATAGTTAGAAGAACCAAATGATTTAACGATAAAAAATTGTGAGTTACTGCTTTAATCGCCAGTGTGGATGTGTTTCGAAACAGATATGTCTGCTGTAACATGCTTGCTAAAACTATTCATTACTGCTAACCTTAGGAAGAAGGTGAAACGAGATAAACAATGTAGCAGTAAGGCATCGTTTATTTCCTCACAGGAAACGATTGTATGTGCAGGAAATTGAATACGACAGGTTAGCAATCTCTTGCTTCTACACACGTTGAGGAAAATGCACAGAACGTCAAAGGCGATATAGAGAAACACAAGTTTCAATTTATGGATTTATGATGCACAAAGTACTCATGCAGCTTCCACACAGTTCTCCTCCCTTAGGTAATCCAGGGAAACTGCCCCAAATAAACACGTGCAGCATAGTAAAACCGACACGAAGAAGTAAAGGTATAGCAATGCTGCAACAGCGCGGAACCAGATCTAAAATTTATCCCTAAAGCGAACTCAAAAGGCCTAGCGTGACATCTATATTCGTAAAGAAAGTACCAACATCTAAAACCGTGTTCAAACGAGATTGGAAAGTACACTTCTTTCGTCTTACTTTTGGAAATGATCCTTTGAAATAGCAGTGGATAAAGAGTGCAAGCAAAAATATGATGTACGCAGATATATGCACATTGGAAAAAACCAAAACTTTTTTTTCATAGATGTATGAGGACGTCCAACGTAAAGAAGTAGAATGCCCAGGATAAACAACTCAAGCGAAAGCCATCAATGAAACGTACATACCATACACCCTTAGTTACGAAAACCATGCATTTCTATACAACGTAATTCACATGAAAACAAATCACTTTACAGGTGTGATCATTTCGGCAACATGAATTCACTGTTATGACAGATAACATGCAGTACAGTAGCGATGCTGCTCTCGTCCTGCTCCCGGGGTCTCTATGGTGCCAGCCCACTCTTCATTGCACCAAACACCTGGTTGGGGTCATATATTAGTCCACCATCAGCTACCCTACTCATAAAGAAATGGTTATTAAGGCAATCTTTATGGCTTTCTCTACAGATTACTACTGCGTAATCATCACCGGCGAGTTCAAGACTCCATCCATCCTCTTCGGGACGGAAGGGGGAGGCATATCGGGTCACTTACTAAGGGGCAAAAGAGTACAATTAAAATCGCTACCCTGTCACAGAAAGTGAGTGATGCCACACATTAGAGGCCTACTGGAGATGCACCACCCTTGGACTGCTTCCCGACAAACGACGATTTTATCATTAGGGACATATGTGTCGAACCCCCTCTTGGTCTCAATGATCAAGCAGCAATAACTTTGTCCGGGATTACTAAGGAGGCTTTGTAGCCAGAGGTAGACGGACCTTTCTTTTGCTACAACAATGTCAAGTATGAGGCCATGAGAGGCTATCTCATGAATGCGCCGTGGCCCAAGGACTGAACTCGTCTTACATTTGAACACTAGGTACAGGGGGGAGAAATTATCCTTGGGGCCGTCAGTCACACACCAACAGTCAGTGAGAGCTTTATATCTAAAGCACGGGATAGAGGCTACTTTAGACCCAAAAGCAGGCTCGATATAATTAAGATAATTTATCCTTCCAAATACAGGCATATACCAGTTTATGGGTCTGGTTAAATGTTCATACCAGTTTGAAACTTTCGGCTGGTAAAGCTTCACTGCTCAGAGATGATCAGCGGGTTTATACAAGTGGAATTAGCGTTCAGAACAGAAATAACAATGGATACTTAAAGTCTCTTAAAATGTTAGTTTTTCGAGAGGGCGAATTTCATTCACATTTCCCAAAAGAATTTGTATAGGGAAGATATTACCTACCCTTTGGGAAATTATTCATTTTAGATGCAAAGAGATGGTGTGAGTGGCATTTGCCAGTCAGGCAGCTGCACTTCTTGAACCGCAAAAGAATTCGCAACTGCAGAAACACAAGAACCGGTAATGACAGGCTAGTCCGTCAAAAAAACCTGATAACAAAGGTCATAAGGAAACCAAAGAAACCTTCACTGCCTCATGTCGAAAGGGAGACTGACCAGCAAATGAGTCATTCTTGTCACAGGCCCCAATTTAGATGAACCAAGATGTCTAGAGACCGCTGGGTTTCTAAGCTCACACTTCGAAGCGCGACATCGTACTTCTGACTCCGAAGCTGCGCCGATGCCATACGTCACTGGTTAATATAAGTGCAAAATTTGGGCGCCGTGGTTGGTTGTAATTCAATTTCAACCAGTTTATTGGAAATGTGAGACAGTGAAACAGTATCATTTACTGGATAAAAGTGCTGTGGATGGTGCTGTTTCCCTATGACATTTCCAATAGACAATGCTCATTGGACCATTAATAACCATTACCTTTGCCACATCCCATCACGCAGAAAAAAGTGTTGAAAACAATATCCAGGCTCCGTTCCAGCAATTCCCCTACCTGAAACGACCTGAGACCACTAGTCCTAAAAAGCATGTCGGGCATTCACATGGCCAATCCGTATCCTCTTCAAGTAATCGCTAGAGTCATGCAGACTCCCAAAGCAAAGGAAACGCGCTACCTTGTCATCTATCTTCAAGAAAGGAGACAGGAAAATTGCTGTTAGCTACAGGCCGATTGCCCTACTTCCTTTACTGTCGAAAGTGTTAGGAAACCTGGTGGCCAACAGGATCCAGGAGTTCCTAAACACGGAAAGCATCGCCCATACTGCTCAGCGTGGCCTTTGAAATGGTCCCTCATATACCACCAACATGCTGACCACCTGAGGTGACTGAACGTTTAGCTGGCATAACAATTACCGGTAAATGCTATTTTTCTTGGCCCAGCTAGAGCATTTGATGGTGCTGCGCATGCGATCCTACTTCACATGATCGCATCAGCCGGCATAAGTGAACTTCCGCCTTCCTGGTTCGAAGCTTACCGAAAGAGCAGACAGTTCCTCACCAAAGCAAATGGAATATGGTTGGAGAGACCGTCGACATCAGAGACTTGCCAAGACACAATCCTGGTATCACTCATGTTCCTCCTGTTCGCCAACGATCTACCCCATAAAAGCTCCTCCTCGCCGATGACAACAAAATGTGGAGGGTAGTAAACGAAGAGACCAACTGTACGGCAATGCGAAATGACCTGCAGTAACTTGAACACTGGTCATCAGTAAATGCCTTCAGCTTCAACTGGGAATAGTGCAAAGTAATGCGCATCAGTACTCATGAATTAAAGAAGCCAACTTCCAATACATGTTGAGTAACTGTGCAGTCACCAAGGTATCCACAGTAAAAGATTTGGGGCTCAAACCCTCGGGCACTCGGAACACCAGTTCCAATCACTAGGAAACAACAGCCAGAGAGAACACCACTTTACACTTTCTGCGTGGAGAGCCTGACGCTGTCATCTCTGAACTGCCTCTCGTGGTTTTATAGTCCCAGAAACAGGCGCATCTGGAAGTCTTCAATGCGATGAACCTTCAGCATTCGAACGACCCCAAACTCCTTGAGGAAACATAAAGATCTGCAACAGTGTCAGCTATAGGACTGGAAAGGAAGGTACCCCCTGAAAGACGGGGTCACCTAAGTCTCTCCTCTTAGCGGCGCCACTGGAAAAGGTGAGACTTTAGTACGGCCTGAAAGATCATCCACCAAGCAAGATATTCAGAATAACTAGCTTTGCCTTCGGCATAGAGGTCGTCATGAGTGAACCCCATTAGGATAGCACGTCAGAGAGCTAACATCAGGCCCAGGTCGAACTACTGCCCTTTAACAGCATCCACTTTATGAAAAGTCCCACAGCGGGATGCAGACACAGCCCCTTCAGAACGCTCGGTGAATGGAAGATTAGACGGCTGCGTTATTTAACAGATGTACTTAGGGTATCACTGACCTCAGTAGCCCACCACTACTTCCCTCCTATTTACCACTCATCATCTCTCTTTTTGATACACCTCCACCATTTACCGACTCTTCCCAAATAACTAGACCATGCTACGTACTTTTGTCTGTCAGGTAGTTCCCATATACCTTTTCCCACAATCATTCCATTTTTATTTAAGCACCTATATAGATAGGGGGCCACAAAAGAATCTGAATTGTCCTAGCAACCTATAGTTCCCTCACCATCTCAGTCTACAAATCACAATTACCAACCCACCAAAGCATACCTCACTGGAGCTAAAAGCATGAAGGCAGGAGGAGTTTCCCTGCCCACTGAAGGACTTAATAACAAAATCAAGCCCCAAGAACCAGGCGTAAGAGATCAAAAACTATCGGTTTTTCACCCTCGCACTACTGATGTTGGATGTTGTAAGATAGCAATACCTTTCAAAAAGAGCGCATAAAAGTTATTGCCTTGGAAACAACTAGTGCCTACGATGCAAATGCCATTAGCCGACTGATTCTAGAAACAAAAGCTAGTTTGGCAAAAGCTTGCTTTGTTCCACCACAGCCCATTCAATATCATTTGACCTAACCACAGATTTGATAAGTGACCTTGACCATGAGTGTATACTTTGTGGAGACTCCTTGCGTGCATTCTATTCTAAGTAGTAAACTTGCGGAGTACTGCGATGGATGTTTTAAGAATAATTCCAGTCTTATGTCTTGCTCATCCTGTAAAATGATGAGATATTGTAGCCGTAAATGTCAGCGTCGTATGTGGCATGATCACAAGCATGAATGCAAACAATACATGAAGTGTGGGCGCCTGCCTACAGCTCAGGTCCGTCTTATTTTAAGGATTATCAACATTCAGGTTTGTGTTGACTAAGCATTATAGGTCTTTAGAGTGAACTAAAGAGTGGATTTAACTCTCTCGTCTCGCGTGAGTGTAACCATATATATGTATACATACATATATGTTCGTATCTCTTTCAGATGAGCAGGAAATACTTGCGAATAGTAATTTAATGGAGGCCTACCACGCTATAAGGATGACACTGTCTGAATTTTCGGCAGAGAGACTGCCTGTGGATGAAGAAGCCATTTTCCGAATTTTTTGTAGAGTAAGCAAGATTTAAGCCTTTAATGTTCCAAGATTCAAATTAATAGTTTCATGGTTACCGATGTCAATGGCACGGATGTTGGGCCTGCACTGTACCTTAGGTATGTTTTTGGAATTTATCTTTTTAACTTAATAGAGCGGCTCGTCTAGATCACTCATGTGTTCCAGATTTGCAGTATATATTTTCTGATCGTGAGATTGTTTTGTGCAAATACTCCCCAGATATGAACTCATCGGTAAGTGTTGGTTGCTTGACCATGACCATGATTCCTGAGCTATGCTTTTAAACATGGATGCAGTTTATATTGCTGAAGCTTTTCTAACAATATGTGAAACAATGAAACACCGCTATGAAGGGGATTGTGGGAAGTCAAACAGAACAAACCGTTTTTAGTTTTAAAAAAAGGAATTTTTAAATTGTTTTTCATTGTCTAATGCTTTTTTTCAATATTGGCAACCAAATAATTTGAGACTTGTGAATAACTGTCTTTCCATTCGCATAAGCCAGAGCCAACAAACTTTGGGTTCCAAGTTATTGAAATCCTGTGTTTAGCCGGGAAGTTTTTGATCCAAGATAACTGATTTGATCAAAATAATGCTTATTATGGAGCTGTTATAAACTTCTAATCGTTCTATTTTGCTTTTCGCCATCTGAACCACTAATTTCACATGCCTTCTGTTGCCCGTCACTTACCAATCAACCCTTCCACTTCCCATTATACCCTTCTATTTATTTCCCTCACTCTCTTTGTTTTTGGTTGTTTCCGCTCTTTATAAGTAAATTGTGAATGTATTTTTAAATGATGGCTGTTAACATTTCTCTGGTTGAAGTAGACTTTTAGTCAAAAACCTCGTATTGTTTTAACGAACATCGACCTGAGAAATGCAAGTTTTTAATCTGCGATCAAGTTATACTTGCTTCGGGGTAAACATATATTTGTGCGGAACATCAAAACAAACATGATTAATAAGTGATCTTGGCTGTGATGTAGTACGGAAGTATTTTGCACGTTTCAACTGGAATTGATTTAGGAGAACTAACAGGTTTTGGGCATTACAGTTGGTGCTGGGGAAAACCAGACACTATCAGGAATCTGAGGTTTTGTCGGGAAACCATGGTGTTGAATATCGGCTAGATGCATTTAAACCCGATTTCGTACCCTAAAACTGCGATGTTTAATTGAAATCCTACACAAATAAATTGTAAAGGATGTGTTTGCCTTCATCGCCAAGTTAGAAAAGACGAACGGGTAACAGGATGTCTCTAGATGTTTCTTCTTGATTAACCAGTGTACCACTTATTTAAACAATAGAATTCATTTGTCAGCGGATATCGGACAATCAGGTTAATATCGGACTTGCAGAAGTTAGTCTCAAACAATTACTTCTACGATGCACTGTGGATTTCCATTTTCTCTTTGATAACACACATTACAAATAAATTGATGAAATTGCTGTGGATACATCTTTAGGCTCAATATTAGCTTTCTTTCTTACTAAACTTGAGAATGAACCACTGAAAGATGTCATCGATAACCTGGATATATGTAAACGTTATGTCGACGACACTTATTGTCCGTGATCAAAACGCTGGCAAGAATGAATTGTTAGGAAAATCCAATGACGTGCATCTGTCTCTCATTTTCGCTTGTAAAGAAGAACAAGAAAGTGTGTTACACTTTTTAGATGCCCTATTGATTAGAAGAGATGACAGGTCACTCAGTAGGATGTACAGAAAGACCACATCTACAGGCCAGTATATACATTTCTTTAGCTTTGTGGAGATTCGTTATAAAAGAAGCTTAGTTAAGTGTCTTGCAACCAGAGCTAAAAGGATCTGCTCAGATGGTCTGATACAAAAGGCACTGGAATACATTCATAATGTGCCGGTTGAAATGGGTTATCCCCGTAGTTTTATTGGAAAACATAGCTAAAATGAGTAAGAAATCTGAACGAATGCCTGCTCAAAAGAAGTCACTGTTCATGAAGTTCCGATTTAAAGGAGACGCACCTGGTGAAGTCCTGTTCTAGAGGATATTTACAGCCATCAGAAGAACCTTTTATGTTGCTAACCGTTTGCTTATCATTTTTTAGTCGACCGATAGTTGTTGCTGCAACAAAAAAACAAGCTGTACAGTTTTACCACTTGTGTGTATCTATCAGTTCAGCTGCTCATTTGGAGAACGCTATATTGGACGTACAACTAGACAGTTTAACAAACGTGTTGCTGAGCACCCACCGTAGTGGCTGGAAAAGGGACGAGTGAAGTCAATATAAAGTCCTATCCCGTCACATTTGGTAGATAGTGGTCATGTAAAAGATTAGACTAAAGCGTTCCCCACCATGTATCGCATTCCACAAAATCTTTCGAATAGAATTCACATTTACACATAGCTGGGGATATGGGAATTAGAGACAATACCCTTAGTCTTGTGTACGGAAAAAGTTTGTGTAAGAATTCTCTCTGCCTTGGTCAGAGAAAACATCAATGACTTCAAAGATAGATTTACTTCTTCATCCCCTTCCCTTTTCTTCACTCCTTTCACACATGTCTTTCTCGCCTAGACTTTAATTATCTATACGCTTCATTCTTTGGTATTAAGCAACTCCTACTTATTCTAAGTTTTGACCTACATTGATTGCTTGCATGTTTACCATACCGTGATATACTCATTATTTTTATCACCACTGAGATAATTATTAATACTATTATTATCTGAATATTTGCTATTTGCATAGTTCATTTCCTTGTTACCACAGGCTAAAAAATTCACCGTGATTAGTCCAATGTACTACAAATGAGACTATTAATGTATACCAGAGTAAAGCCTGGTTAGAGCTAATTGAAAGCGGTACTTTTCTCCTATAGGTCTTCAACCTAGTCTTGGTGATAAAACTCTGCATTTCGGGATTTTCGTTGTAGTCAAGATGCGTAAGATAATCGTTCGATAGAAAAAATGAATGAGTCTTTCCTAGCATTAGAAAATATGACATATATATTCAGTTCTTAACTTCTATTGCATATTTCTAAACTTCTTATTAGTGCATTTTTCAACTTTCACGGGTACGTTGCAGGGTCAAAAGTTACTCAACTGTACTGAATTTATTCTTTTAATGCCTTTATTTTGTTGATAGTAATAAGAGCAATAGCTATTTTTGTGGCTTTTTGAACCGCCAAGATACATAAAACCACTCAGCACTAACATTTCGAAAGTTGTAATCCGTCTAGATAAAAAAAAATATCACGTCTATGACTATTCTGTTAGGAAGTACTAGTTTACAGTCACGTGAGAAAATATGCAAATTAGATTTTGGCAAAGTAAATAGGTTCATTTATTGCTGGGCGTGAAACCGTAAAGCTTTTGTAGCACAAAACCTGTAAACAGTTTCCTCATAAAACTATCTTTAAGGAGCATTTAAGTTTTTTGAGTCTCAAAAGTTATTTAAAAATATCCAATTTTTTCTCGCCTTTCAGCCTCGCATCAACTACTATGACTATATGACAACCACCGAAGAAAGACAAAATAATTTGATGAAAAACTATTACTTTAAGTGTGATTGCAGCTTGTGTCTAGACACTGACCGCGTAAGTTGACGTAAGATCCCCCACTAGCACAATTATAATTTTGTTAAATGTTTTTGTAAACGACTATTTACCCATCCTTCACTAAAATAATCAGTACGGAGAAGGCGAAAAGGTACCATTTTCGGCGAATTCCTTTTCGCCTTATAGATAAATTTAAACGCTGGATCAGTTGTGACCCTGTGACCAATGTTAACAAGATACTCAATTATTGCTTTTTTGATGGATCAGCTTTCATCTTTTTGCAACCACGCTTAAAAGTGCTCTCTAATGCGTTTGGAAAAAATGCGCATCGAACGAGCTACATACCTAGGTTCCACAAGAGCAGATGAGTTGATGAACACCTATGGAAGTAGTCAGGTGTGAAAGTCTATCCTTCGGTTTTCAAGGACCCATCATATGACTGAAGAATACAACCTTCAAGATTGACACTAAGAAAGTTTCCTTTAGCTGTTTAGAAAACTTCCTCTCCAAGATATCAACATTAAAGTCACCTCTAAAGTCAAGATTCATGTATACTATCTTCTCTGAAGCTGAAATAGTTATCTCTGTTTGCGGTTTTGACTTTGTTTTTGTCCAAGAATGAGGCGCTAGATATCCATTTTCAGCCAGGACTTTCTGAGAAAAACTATTTCTTCCTTTAGACTATCAGAGTTTTCGAATGCTCAGGGCGAGCGGACATACCAGGAGTCCTTTCTCGACTAATAGGTACCCAGTTGTAGAAATTCGTCAGCTGACCACTCCCTATAGGTTTCCCATAAATAGGCCTCCTCAGTAGCGCATCATCTCGTCTGACCAGTTTTACATCTAGAAATGGGATCTTCGATTCCAATTCTTTAAGTATGAATTTAATTGAGGGGTGGCGACTGCTAAGCACTTGTAAAACATCACTCAAATCACAGCCATCATAGCGAATTACGAAGATGTCACCAACATACCTTTCGTACACCAAAAACTCGTCAGTTGGCTTGAGACTGCTGTTCTCCAACCTTAACACAAAACAACCTACCAATATTGGCCCAAGAGAGGGAACACATAGCAATGCCATCTTTCTACCGGTAGATAACGTCATTGAAAAAACATCGGAAGTTGGAGGTCCATCTCAGAAGCAGTTCTTTTAGGTACTAGGTGGGTATTCTCATATTCGAGTTGCTGTCATCTATATATTCGCATAAACAATAAATCATCTCCATTAGTAGTACGTTCTTAAGATAAAATTCTACGCTGAGTGGTAATATACGTTTTCTAGTTACTTTCGAATACATTATGCAGTCGATGAATTTGGAAGTGTTGCGAAAAGAGTGACTGGGTGGATACCTGTTTCCTAACAGGCTCTAGAATTCCAGGAAGTCACTTTCAAATCTAATAGTAAGATGATCCTTACATTTCGAAAACTAGACAAAGTGAAAGACCATCTTTGCGAACTTTGAGTAAACAGTACAGTCGAGGAATTAACCATCCTGTCTTTCTGAGGCGTTCATCGAGATCTCTAGTTAATCGGTGATTCTCCGGTCTTTTAAGAAGATCTGTAAGTCGTTGTTCAGTCTTATTTTTCTCGTGATAGGCTTAGGAAAGTTGTTATCGTCTGGAATCAAGGTCACCATTTTTTCAACATGTACGTTTCTGTCCATCAGAACCATACCTAGGCCGTTGTGTGGACGCGTTATTACTAAATCCTTGTTGCATCTTAGCTCTAATGGTTGTTCTTTATTTTACTTGCTTAGTGGGTGATGGACCTTTCCTTTTGTGTTGAGATATTGGTGGCAGCAATCAAAGACGGTTGATTTGAAGTGTTGGAGTTCTGTGTTTGAGATTATAATGTAATTTGTTTGACTGATTCGATTTTCAAATTATACATGAGTCTGAAGTCTTTTGACGTTTAGATTCATATCATAAAATTTTGGTCCCAAAGACAGAGCTTCTAATTGTAGCGTCGATAAAGTAACTGGTGAATGATTGAACGCAAATTAATCAAGTAAATGACAATAGTGTTTTTTCTTTCATCACTCAAAGTTGATTAACTACAGGCATATCAGTCGATATCCTAGTCTAACTACCTCATTCTTGACTTTGTAATTCTTTGAGCTGTGGTCTTTTAACTCACATGTATGCACAGTTAAATCATCCAAACAAGTGGTACAGGCAAAAAAGTCCCAACTGATTGTCTTAGTCATTGTTTATTCAATGACCTATTGATCAAAGTTAGTGATTGTAATCATATTTTATCATTGATCTTTAGGAAAAAAAGATCACTTCACTTGTCTGCTGTTCACCTGAGTGTTTGAGTGATCCCATATTATGTGACGAATTGCCTTCATCAGCCAGAGTAAAAGAGTGCAATAAAGATGTAGCAATGAAACCTGTTGTGCGTTACTGTCCTGTATGCTTACAAATTTATGATAATCAAGTGATAAACCAAATTATGGACGATCTGTATGGTAAAACTAAGACTTGTCTCGACGTTGATATTGGTAAGCATTTTTGCAATACATTATTGCATTTCAAACTCAATAACCTGTCTTTTTTGCTACGCTGACACTAAGAACGTATATTTAGTTTTGCTTAGGATTACACTTTCGAGGTGATTTTCATCGAAAATGGACTTCCTCTAGAGAACCAGTGAAAACTAGGTGGTACTAGACATGTTTCTCTGGTTTAAGACCCTTACAACTGAATCAGAGATTGAACCCAAGCTTTTGACATCTCAACCATGTTAGCACTCAGCATATGGGTCAAAATTCAATGATCCACTTTTGCAACATGCGTCGATTCATGACTGTCAGACATTGTGGTTTTGTCCTTACTTCTGATATGGTTGGTCTCACAAGTTATGGCCTCTCATTAGAACTTTGAGAAATATATCTGAAAACCAGCAATTAGTCGGTAAAAGTTGTTATTTCAATAAGTAGACTAAATTCCAAACCAGTGGTTGGATGGTGTTCATGCAAATTGACAATTCTAGGCTCAGTCCTTCAAGTGACCATGTGTGCCTACATTGCCGAAAAGTGTCAAACTGTGGCAAAGTAGCCGTGTACTGCTCCCTAGTTTTTGTTGTTGTCGTTGTTCACTAACCTTATATCACTTAGTGATCAGAATAACCTTAGGCCTAGTCAATTCCCCTCAGATCGATCAATTATTTAGAATTACACACGTCAACACACTGAGTACCATTCTGTTTTTAAGTTCCTAATTTGAAAAGTTCCCAGTGTTTAATGATAATTGCCAAGTTGCTGATTTCCTAACTCCATAGAAGTAGTAATAAGCCGTTTTTGATAATAAAAAAAAAGTAGCGTTATGCATTCTTGATTATACAGAGTCGATTACAGTAATTAGAAAATGTTACTGTCCTTACTATTTAGAAGACTGGATATGACTGCAACACTGGACAATGATGAGCCTTAAAGTAGAGATTTCATAAGTATTTGGTTGATAACCACAAATACATGCGAAAGGTAGCTCTAAATTATTAAGCTGACTACATTTAAAGCTAACAGTTACTTTTTTTTGTGCCTTCTGTTTTAATTAATATAGACAGACAGACAGAATCAACATGAAACCTTGCACACAACTACATCGATTCAAGTTGTCACCCTTGAAAGTAGCATACAAAGAACAAGGAGACGGAAAAAAGAGTAATTACAAAGTAGGGAAAGGTGTATGAGAGAATAAACAATTTCAAGATAAAGGTTCATAAAAACACTCAAACTCTAGATGTCAAAAAGTGGATATATCTGCACCATTGTGACTGATTTTCATCCGTGTCACCAAGAGTCCCAAGGCCCGCAACCAGTTAGTCTACACCTCCCTGCACGGGTCAAACTAACAGTCAGAGACTTCATGCACTCGTGCTATGTCCTGGTCGCACCACCGACCTAGTCCAACTTCTACCATTGCACCTCGGGGTAGGTGGTAGCTCGGCACTCGCAACACATCCCCAAGCCATCTCAGTGGACTATGATTCACAATCTCATGAATCGACTTGCCTGTCCCACCTAGTGCCCTTCGTTTGGTCTCAGCATTGTTCACACGGGGATTCCAGCAAACGCGAGCAATGATATAAAGACCTCTTTAGTCAAACCCTGTAACCGTGTCATGTTTTCCCCCTTTTAACAGCAATGTCTCACAGCCATACAACAGGGCAGAATGGACTGCAGCGCAGTATACTCGGTTATATCGCCAATTGTCACCAGAGGTGATGCAATTCGACAAATACTAAACAGGCTTTCTGTATCTAAGCTGAGATTTCATCATTAACCGGCTCGTTCGAGCTGATGCAACTCCCGAAGTAAGTGGAGTAGTCGACACATTCTACCGCCACCCCTTATCATTAATCTGGGAGTGGTTGCAGCAGACCAATCCTGTAGCGTCATCTTGCATTTTTAACACAGGTGCGAAACACATGCTAGACATACTCAGATTTTTGCTCAACGCGCTCACAAGACCCTGCAGTTTATAAGCGTCTTCACCTGGCAGGACAATATTGTCTCCGTAATCAAAGTCAATCACATGATGACCCTCAGGGAGTAGATCAATCCCTGTGAAATCAGATGTACCTAAGGTTATGTCCACTCGTACGTCTATGACAAAGTTCAGTAGGAACGGTGACAGTGGGCATGCCTACCGACTAGTTGTCAATTCACATAACAACTCTCCATAAACCCTTACACGGCTGCGTAAGTTCGAGTTGAGAGCTTTGATGAGCATTATATACTTGGTAGGTACTCTTTTCACAGTCAGATACTGCCACAACACCTCATGGTCGATAAAGCCAAACCCCACCTTCAAGTCAACAAATATGGCTAGTGTTAGCCAGTGACTGGTAATTATGCCTGTATTCCAGTAACTGTCGAAGGATAAACATCTGATGGAGACACCCTCGCCCAGGTCTGAAACTCATCTGGTTTTCTCGAGTTTGCTGTTCTGAAGCCTCAGTCAGACTGATTCCCCCATGGTTTTCACAAAAAGATTTCTCTCCCTTCTTATAGATGAGGGGTAGCCAGAGACCAGTCTGATGTCGCTACCTCTGATCCTCATACACTCACTACATAGTGCCTCCGTCGCTCTAACTAGCAGTTCCTCCCCCCATCCTTGGCAACTTCTATCGCTTCAGTCTCAACATAACTTCCTCAACTTCAAGGAGAGTTGGAGAACCTACATCTACTTTCCATTCAAGTTCGGGCTGGTTGTTGGGCAACCGAAGCGTTGCTGGGGGTCAGCTGAACTGGGTTTCAAGGTATTCTGCCCAACGTTTTAGCCGCCTGTTCTGGGAGGTTATCAGCTTCCCCTCCTTTTTGATGATGATCTTACTAACTATCGTCTTTTCCTTGCCAGTATCCTTAATAATCTCAAATAGTTACCGGGTGTTACCTAACGCTGACGTCTCCTCCATCGCTGCCCGCAATTATTGCGTAGACTCTTGGTCAATTTACGTTTAATTTTCTTTCGCTCTTCATTGCGGTCAGAGCCAGCTGGAATGAGTCTTCTCACATCAGTCAGTTCGAATGACATCGCGGAAATCTAATGATGTTTGCTAACTCTCGGGTATAGGTTACCAGCTGCATTTACCACTGTTTCTACAGTAGACTTAATATCACGCCAGATTTTCACAGATTGAGCATTGTTATCACGCTCAGTTAAATGCCTAACTAACTCCTCCCTAAATACATACTTGGCGAACTCATATTGCAATCGGTCTAATTATTTATTAATATATAAAATTGTATTAACCAATATGAAACGTATTATAAAGCTTATTACAAAGACACTAATATTATCGCTGCTTCATTTGGTTGCAGTTACTTGAGAACTAATCTCATTCAAAAGAGTAATGTAGGGTGAGTTCAGTAAGTTGTGCTAACTACTTAATTATCCCCGTTTTAATTAGGTTCAAGCGATGGAACTGGTTCGTAATTCCATCACAGTTAACATCTTAGATGTGTAACACAGTGAAACAGCTGTCCATAGTCATATCAAGGTAAAATGTAGTGTAGTAAGTAACATAGTTTTACTGTATGATACCTCGTCCAGAAAGCTCACTGGAATGAAATTACATTGTACCACAGTGCGCAAGTTTTACCTTTATATCAACGAATTGTTTCTTGATATCCGAACATTTTGTCTTAAGTAACCTTTTACCTCCAGTCTGTACGTATACTTCATATGAATATCATTGATATTTTCGACTGATATAAAAAGTATTCATCAGGAGATGTGGTAAGTTTTTGGTTGATGAGGTTACTCATTTCATATTTTTGTCGGAGTTCATCTCACGATACTGGTGAGTAATCGATACATTTACTTCTTGTGTTAAGCGCTTCAGAATGGATATTTATCGAGAATAAATATTGTTCACTGAGGTCATTGTCATTAACTTATCGAGATCAGTGATGAAATAACGAGTGTTATTAACTTGTGACTTAAAAGTTGAAAGAAATTAAGTTTTAATTGAATAACTATTTTGTCTCTATGTATTAACCGGAGAGGTACCAGTCCATGAATTGTCTGATCGTTGGTCTGAGTCGTGTGGGATATGTAGACTGCCTGGCTGAGGTTCCTGAGACGAAAGGAATCAGTGGCTGAGAACTCTTGGTGAAACGGCTGAAAATTGATCACAATAGCTTAGATGTATATTTACTCCTTGACATCTAAAGCTTGGATATTCGCACTACCCGTTATCTTCAGATTGTTTATTCTCTTTTACAACTTTGTCTACTTTTGATATCAATCTTTCCTATGCAACTGTTCTCTGTATACTACTGTGAAGTATGGCAACTTGGGCCAATGCACTTGTGTGCAAGGTTTTGCGTTGATTTTGTCTCCCCGTCTATTAACTGGAGAACACAATATTTATAACAGGTATTTCAGTCTAAATTACTGCTGTCTGTAATCAGTAGTGCACTTGTGTGCACAGGTTGAATAATGAAGTAAACTAAGTGGTCAGCAATTTCTTCTAGGTATGCTGAGATGAAGATTGCAGTTGTTATGTCCGCATGTTACTTTATTCATATAAGTAAATAAATAAATTTACTTTCTTGTGAAAAAAGTTACCGGTTGACACTCATCCTCAGATTGATAAGAACTGAAACGATATACATTTAGGGTTTATATGTAATGTGCATACTATAATAAGAATATGGGGTTTATCTGGAAAATGTTATGTATTGGTATGCACAATAGAGAATGTTTCGCCACCCGCTGAAACTGAACATGCGTCATTTAACCCGGTACTACTATCCACAGAGTTGACTATCAGAAATCTCCGATAAATGTTTGAAGGTTGAACATTTATGGTTCTTACAGACCGAAAACTTTTAACTCAGTCTGTAAACGCTAAACCAGGTGAACATTCGCCTTGATTTCATTTCACAATTTACCAGCAATGTGAGGCATGTTTAGCGTATAAAAAACTGCGTGGCTGATGCTGTTTCTAAAATCCATGTAAAAAACAGTTCAGTGATCCATCACAGAGTTGAAAGCGTTGGTGGTAATTTTTACCAGTGGTCATATATATTAGACTTCTTAACTTAAATTTCAGTTAAGTGAACACTTCACCATCACAATTACCAGTTTACCATCAGCATGATAGCCTACTTAATACAGTGAATATGAACGCTGACATTTTTGTAAACGTTCTTCGTATTGGAATTATAACTGTGCAAATCCTACTTGTGACAAATAGGTTGTCTTTTCACACAAATCTTCAAGAACAGCAAGCAAGATACCCTACACGTTCAAGACACGTTAAACTAGTGCTGCAATTGATGTCCCCAACATATTTAATCAAAAGTTATGCATTCAATAGACTATCAAAATAGGTGTACGTGAAACACTTGCTTATACATGTTTTCAACATACCTCAGGTAATCACAACAAAATCAGTTCGGTGAGATTACATATTTTCAGGTTAGGTTTTGCAAACCATCCCAGTTGTCTTTCTAGCCTATTTTCTTCAGTTATTTTTTTAATAACTACTGAATTTTTAGCTCCAGTCTACTTAATAAACCTCAGTAGCTGTTTACGTATAACTGCTGCAGTTGCCATCGCCTACCACTATTCACTTCCACTGTGTAGACTCTTCCAGTTTATATCTAGGTTGTTTGCTCTCCGTTTTAGGCATACTCAGTCATCTATGAATTCGAAAAAGCTACTGAAATCAACTGACTTTTTGGTGAACATCAGTTGCGGTTTGTATCACTGTTTTTCACTGCAGTTTGTTCATAGGGTTGGGTTCCATCATAATGAATAGTGTTGTTTTCTGCTAAATTGTTTATCATCTCTTGCCCTAGCGACTGAGGTGTTGGCATTTGATGCTATGAGTACTGGTTAGGGACAACACTCTCCGGAGTGCAGGTACATTTTTATCTGACGAGTCCTAAACAGGAAGAGACGCGCGTCCTGAATTCAATAGCTAGTCACCGAGTGAAACTTCAACATGTTACTAATCAAGTTTAAGTTACGATCTCAGTTTAAAATCAATGTGTCGAATTTCTTACAGTCATTTTTTTGTATTATTTTCTAATTCCTTTATAGCTTTAGATGCCATTATCATGTACCTGCGGTGTTGTCAAACTAACAAACCGATTCAGAAAACTGATCTGATAACAGTTAAAGACATAAAAGCTGAGGCTTCGCATCAGTATTACAAATTATTTGGTCATCAGGATAGTTTGTACTTAGCACGATGTTGTTCTCGTGTTCAGTATATAACTACAGTGCCGATTGATTCGACACTAGCCAGCTTGAACAAGCGTCATAACTACTGTGAAAAAAAGTTCAGAGTTTCCAAAGATACCTTAGTAAACATCGTGATTGCTTGCATTCTCTATGAATTCTATTGGAGAACTGATTGGTTACCATCGGATCGTTTCCAACTTGGTCAACTAGTCTATTCAGCAGCCTCTTTCTTATTATCTAATATAAATGATACCAATGAATTTCAAACTTGTGACCGAATGAATCAAATTAAAAGATTTTTGATGCATAAATACAATAAAATGGATTGCTTAGGTCAGGTTCTATGTAAATTTTCAAGGATAGCATGTGATGCACTCGGTCCACTTGTTGAATATCGTTCAAATTGGCGACAAGGTCTCAGTGTACTGGAACATTATAAAGCTCAAGACATAGGAGGCGCTACTAATAATTTCTTGGAATTGAGATGATTTAACCTTCAATAATTGTTATCATTCTTGCCAGTGTATTTATTTATGTCTACAGATGTCGTGTAAAATAATTATCAATTTAGTAGGGAAATGAATACAAAATACACTGAGGGAAATTGTATTTTTTTGTACTCGCATTATTTACCTTCCTGATATGTTTATTTGCATAAAAGCCAGTGTTTGAAAATCCTTGAGCATTTTTATAACAGGTATCTCAATGTATCAGTTGCATTAAAAACATTTTTGGTCCTTATTTTCCTTACATACATTGGGCAAATATATGTTTTAAGAACAAGATATTCAACGAAGCTACTCTTCTCAAAAATGATAAAGGTATTTATATTCCTAAGGTTGTATTCATCCTGGACTGACATCAGTTAGGGAACCATTAAAAACCTGGAAGCATCGGAGAACTAGATGTTTCGTCCCAGTGTAGTGGGCATTGCTGACAACAACGGATATAAGTAGTATATATCTCGAGAGTGTGGCAAGAATCATAGGGAATTACCGGTAATGGGTAAGGTTTCTGCCAAGAGCAACGCAGGGGACAACACAGGCGTATTACAAGCCATGCTGCTGATAAGAGTGTATGAAGAGCCTGTTAAGAGCGAATCAAGACAGGAACGGAGAGGAAACGAAGACATTTGCAAATGACTGCGTTAGTGCAAGGAGTACCATATGTAAGCACTACCATTCCAATTGTTTGTAATAAACATTCTCTCGTCGAGTTGTCTTCTGTTTCTTCACCAGTACCGGGCTCCTCAATAGCACGCACCCACAACTCGACCCGGCCAGAGATGGAACTCAAGACCTGCAGGTTTCACGGTAAACGCATTGGTCATTCAGTCATTAGGTCGGAGTTCACTGGTTCACAGTTTCCTACTTCTGTTGATTCGCGATATAACATGACTGTCCACCAAGGTCTTCAGTTGGCATCCGCTTCACTTCAGACTGTTTGACCCCACTGGTTACGGTTTCTCATTATAACTTCTGGATATCTATCTCAGAGCATGTCACTAATGGGCACCATAAGAATATTGTCTAGGTCACCTTTATCACAGATAAAAAGCAAAGTGACTAGTTGTTTGACTAAATTTCGTATTCTCTACTTTCAACGTGGAAAAATCTCCTATCAGTGGTACTAATTGTGACCCCAGTGCAATTCCGTCTATAGACTTCATTATAGAACGTCAAATGTGCATCTCAAAAAAGCTCCTCCAAGTAATCAGCTGGTAGTAGCTGCATCTATCCAGTTAGTCCGAATGCCATAAAAAGAGATGATAACTCGATATCTACAAACACCTGCCTCCGTTTAACTAATAAAAAAGATGTTTGGTTTTTTATTAGGAAAAATCAGTAAGTTGCTCGCAGTTCGAATTCTGTCATCAAAGAACTCTTTCCTAAGATTGGGAGTAAATAGTCCGTTATAATAAATCCGCCTAAAAGATCTACGAGTACCCCCCACACTCTGTAGAATTAAAAGAACACTGTGAAGACGCCTTACTGACTAACACGATCCACCAAGTGTCGTGAACAACCCATAACCACTGATCAGCCACAAACCAAGAAAAGCTAACTCACTGCCCGAATAGAAACTGACGAACCACCTAGTCGAAATAACAACTTTCCCGGGAATTCAACGAGCCAGATATATAAGCGGATGCTTGTTGCGTCTGTAAATCTCAATGCAAACAAGCGAATACTATAAAACAATCAGAATCACTCGCAAAAATCAATGAGAAAAAAGAGGAACAGTAATCACCTGAGTGTGATTGTGAAAATGATCCGATGAAAAACAGTTCATAATAAAAGAACCCCTCGACTAAACGTTCTCCTTACATGTACATTCAAGCAACTACAAAGAAGCAAACAAAATATAAAACGCGAAATAAATAAAGGACGACTGGATATATATCTAACGCAATGGTGCTGATGTGTCTGTTCATATGTGCATAACTGTGTAGGTGAACACATTGTGTCCACACAGCGAGTTGAGTAAGTAAGCCATGAGTCCCAATTCTGTAATCTCCAGGTCAACAAAAGGCAAACACATCAGGCGGTTTCAGTAATAAGGGTGGTAGGCCAGTTGTGCTGCGTTAGTCCTTGCAGTAGATGTCTCTGTGAAGATCTAGTTTCGCCCTGACCAAAGGAGCTGATACCAGTTGCTGCGATGAGGTGTTACAGTTGACCACACAATGGGAGAAAAGCAGATTCACGCTGTTGATAAGATCGCGGTTTTTGGATTTTCTTGTAATGACCTCGGAGATAATCAATCCTAGCACAAAAGAAAAGGCATATTAGTACCGAAGTCATTGTCAAAGATACAGAATTCTAGTATGACATCCCTTCTTTTCCTGCGGTAAGACACTCGGAGTAGTTTTAATCAATCTAATTCTTCTTCATCAATCAGATTCGGAAGCCGTGCTACAAGCTTAGTACCTTTCCTTTGAACCTGCTGGGGTACGTTAGCATCTTTTCTAGGCATGGACTAGGCGTCTACATCTATGTTCCCTGTAGGGGTTTAATGCAGGTAGAAAAGAGTATCCTTATCAAAACTTTTGAAAGATTTGCGGATGGAACAAAGCGCTGAGAAGCCCTTTGTTTCACTTGCATTACAGTGTCCCGAAGTTTTCAAATAATGTTTTATGATGACACCTAAGCAATTTAAGTTTCAAAACTGGGAGTAGTGGTGTACCGTCAGCGGAATAGTGGAAACGATTACTTTTACCATTGTGCAGTATTCCACTTTTACGAGAGTTAGTTCCCAGTCAACAACATTTGGACTAGCCTACCAGTTCATCCAAATCCACTTGAAGGGCTTACCTGTCAACATTACTACGTTATAACTCCAGATTTTTACATCATCGGCAAATAGCAGCATCGATGAGTGCAGCATCTGCGGTAATTCGTTGGTATATAACAAGAAAATTAGAGGACCTAGGATAGTACGTTGAAAAACCCCACTCATAACAAGTTCCCACCTGAACAGTGTTCTACTTATCTTCACTTTTTGATTTCTATCCCACAATAAGTCCCAAATCCAGGCTCGCAGTGCAGCACAAAGCCCGAAAGACAAGTGCTTTCCCAATTATTTTACATGAGTCACTTCATCGGAAGCGATACTGAAGTCTATAAAAGCGGTGTCTAGTAGCAGTTTGCAATCATAGTCTGCCAAAAAAACTCCTCTCTTGCGATGGTGAGGTTTGGTAAGCAGAAGTGCCTTTCGTTGACATACACATTGCCATAAACACAACCAAGATTCATTTAATAGTTACTCTGCTTGTATGAAGAAAATGTATTCAGAAAATAGTTATGTATTCCTCTATAGACATCAGAAACTTCGCATGCGTATGAAGGTACGGCTTAAAATATACATTAAATTGTCGGCAAAATTACCAAAGGACTCCTGCAGTAGAAAAATTCCTACCATGAAATCGATGTCAACTATAAGTAGCATAAGGACACAAATTTAACCGAGAAGTATCAAGATTAATAACCGTAGATGGAGGCTACGATTATCTCAACATAATACGGCGCGGGCGCGTGACAGTATCTCGACAGCTGTGGGAGTGCCGCCGTATTTTGGATAGTTTCTGCCTGCTTCAAAGTGTGTTGGCTTGGCATGCTGCGTTTGTGATGTATTGAATGGCCGACTTCCCACTCAGCCTATTATGCTGCATTTTTAGATGGATGTACGCAGAGGAACTTAGTTGCTCATCACATTCAGTTCAGATCTTCGTTGTTTCAGTGTGACACAGGTGAGAGTGAAGAGAGATAGATAAGATGTGGAAGTGCGTGCGAGATTTCATGTTAGAAGTGTGAGAGGGATTATTGATTGGATGGTAGGAAGAGATGCAATGGAAGTGATACAGGCTTTACACAAAAACTTAAACAAATTAGCTGACTGACTCACGCGCCTACCCATTCTCACCAAGACACTATTGCTCGGCGTCATATGCTTATATAATTCTCACAAGCCTGATGGCCGTAATGGTTCTGAAAGGTGGGAAGTACAATTCACATGGATATTACAGAGTAAAGCGACACTGACTGACAACGAAATGTAAAGATAGGTGGACAAGGCGATGAGAAATGTCGACTTCAGTGCATAAAGCCGCTGCACTGACTGGACTCGATGAAGCGGCTGTGAGCCTAGCTACATGTGATTGGTGGGCTCATCAATTGGTGTTGGGTTCGATGGATCGACTGATTGTGTGATCTACTGACCGGCTGGTTGAGTTGCTGACGACTTGAGTTGCTTGCAGCTGTGGTGAATCGTCTGTCTGGTCAGTTGGTTGGTTTTCGGTATGTCTTCCTCTCTATCGCTGTCTGTTCTCACTCTGTGAGTGTGTGTGCATTTGTTTTATCGGCATACCCAACTGGGTGTGAGAACAGTTGATTCGTGTTCAGAGATTCATGGTGTGGAGTGAGTCAGTTGGTGAAGTCACTGAGTGCTATGCTAAGTGTGGATCAGGTTTAGACTGTGGTATGTCGTGTGTTTTGGTGTAGTGGTTTGCGTGTTGATCACATACTCGTGTGTTTGTTGTGGATGGAGTGTGAGTGAGTTGTCGGATGATGTGGTTCAGTGTGTGGGAGTCGATGTATGATGGCGGTTGTGTTGGCGTCGAAGCCCACGAGCCCGTGGCGCAACGGTAGCGCGTCTGACTCCAGATCAGAAGGCTGCGTGTTCGAATCACGTCGGGCTCAGGAGTTTTCCATCCACCCTAAAGTTAATCACACAACAATATCCTAATTGTTCACTGGATGCCACAGTCCTGCTCCTCCGACCAACATGATGTGCACAACTGCCTCGTTAGTCGACAGTGAAAGGCGTCACTGATTGGACTATGCAAGAACGGTAGGTCGGACTGAACAGAGAGATGTTTGCCACCGAGTATGTCTCGTTGAACTCTACTCGCATCCTTACCAACAATCTTCAGCGTCTGTAGTGGACTTAAAGAAATGTCATATAAACCAAAATAATAAACCACGTATAATTTACAAAAATATATTCACTGATACAGAAATAGTAATGTCAGTGTTATGGATAATGATGGATTACTTGATTGTTATCTTTTCGGTACTGTCCACCACAATTAAGGATACTCCAAAGTTCAGAATGCAATACTTGTTAGCTCTCCACAGTTGACGTTGGTTGGCTTGATTGTCTTAATATTCGGAAGTAGGATGAGAGGTACTTTAAAATCCAAAGACAATCAATGAGTATTCAGGACAGACAATGGCCAAGGAGACAGAAGTCGAAGTGGACAGAAGCTCACTATATTTCCCGTTTAGCAGCAGC